TGCCCTTTATACAATAAGCACTTATTCAACTTTTTTCTTCTAAAATTGTCTCTAATTGAATTACTTTTAAAAAAGCACTTTTATAAAAGTATTTTTGCGAAAGCACTTTTATGAAAGTACTTTTTCGAAAGAACTTATATATATATATATATATATATATAATACAATTTCTAATTTTAGAAATATGATGAGAAGTAATATTTAAAGCATCTTGAATACATAAATTTAAAATGTAACATGCACATCTAATATGAAATAATTTACCATTTAAACATAGTTTTAATTGAGATTTTAAAATATTTATTGCTGAATTATTATTACTAGCATTATCAAAACTAATAAAAAAAAGTATTTTTTTTAATTCCATAATCATGTAAAGTATTTAAAATACTTGCAACAATAGCCGTGCCAACATGTGGCCATTCAAGCCTAGTAAAACTTAATTTTTTTTGTAAAAGTTATTTTTCATCAATAAAATGATCAATAACACAATTATAACTTATATTAAATTTAGAGCTCCAAATATTAGAAGTAATTGCAATTATGGAATTAAGATTTGATAAAATATAAATTAAATTTTGTTTATATGAATAAAAAATGTTGAAAGCATCTGCTCTAATTGTATTTTAAATTATGGATTTACAAAATTACGTAAAAAAATTTCAAGTTTAGCATCCTCAGTTAATAAAAATGGTTGTTTAGCATGTACAATATATTTTGCTATCTCTTATCTCATTTTTTTTCTTGAGAATATTTAAAGGTATCAAAACCCACACGTCCAATTTGTGTTTGTCATTTTTATTTCCCTTCTTATTGTTTCTCATGGGTGAGCAAATGTCTGACCAAATGGCTAGTACCACCCTTGCTATAGTAGCTAAAGCCACTCTTATATTTTTGGCAAAAGGCTCTTTTTCCCTTCCCCCCAACTTCCTCTATTTTAAATCATTTCCAAATTGGGCTTGTCAACTTAGTGCTTTTTTTTTCTATCCCCTAGTAGCAGTAGTTGGGGTGGGAACTCCAACAATGTCAATAGCATCCACATCGGTGCTAATACTATCATGTTATGACTGAATATCGTCAACATTGAACATGTTGGGGAATTGGTTTCCAGAGGAACCGATCATTTTATTAATTCTAAATAAAAATTAATTTAATTATACTTACCTGGGTTGCTGGTTTAAAATCTCAACTTGATTTCAATGGTTGAAACCTATAAGCCTCCCAAATTGCTAACTTGAGATACTTGAGCAAGCCTATTTCTTATTGAAACTTGAATAAAGTCGAGACTTGAGAATTGGAGAGTAGAGAGAGTATTGAGAGTGTATGAGAGACTAGAGAGTATGAGAACAGAATTGCTGAATTGGTGTGATGAGAATGATGGAGATTTGATTATTTATAGGAAATGAAAATAATTCAATTGCCCAAAATACCCTAAAAACTAATAGTTTTTTAATTGTTGGGAGGGGTATTTTGGTCATTGTAAAGTCGTTTATCACTTTACCCAAAATTCCCCCCAAACTACCTATTATATAGCTATTGGGGGGGGGGGGGGGGCATTTTTTCTCCCCAAAAACCTAAATACATAAATACCCCCTATATAGTTATTTATAGCTACTGGGCAGTGTTTCTGTAAAAACCCCCAAAAAAGCTTAAAATTGCCATTGGGGACCCCCCCAAAGCCCAACGGCTAGTTTCTCGGGTGGGCCATGTCATGCCAGCCCATGGATCTGAAACCCCTGGCCTAGCACAGCCCGCACGATCGTGTTGTGCCTGGCATAACCCACATTCCATCGTACCAAGATAGGCCATGCCGGGCTTGATTTACACCTCTACCTCTGTACTCAAAAAGTGAACAACATCAAAGTGTACCAAATAATGCACTGACGCACCATGATTTGCTCCAATTGCCATACTTTATCGATCAAACAGTGATTTTTCCAATCTCCCCCTCTAGCTCTCAGTAGTGGTGATTTTCTTCCTCTCTCTCTCTCTCTCTCTCTCTCAACCATCCCGATCTCCCCCTCCCCTATTCTCATCTCTACCCACCACAGCCGCTGCAATTTCTTCCTCTCCCCCTCTCACTTGATCTTTTTCTTCTTCTCTATCCTGCTTCAGACCCACCATTGTTGCTGTTTCTATGGCAAACGATTTCTTCGTCATCTTGTTGTCTTCATTGTTGTGGCTCCAGTGGTCACATCTTCATTCAAATGGGAGAGAGCGTTTTAAATCATATGGCTTCATAGAGAAACAAATTGCAACGATGCTAGTGCAAGTGCTCATATGCATCTACATCTTCTTATGGGTTCTTGCACGAGTTGCAATTTTTATGGGGTGGACAATAGATTTGGACTAGAATCTCCGGCATCAAATTAGATCAAGAGTTGTTTCGAGATGTAAGTTGTCAATTACAGAGTTAAAAAAAAAACGTGGAGGAAAGATAGAAGGCGCATTCGGATCATGTTCGAGAAGGAGAAAGAGTTGGGAATCTCAAGTGGGACCTATTTATATATTCTTTTCAATATTTATTAATTTATATATTAAAATTTTTATTTTATTCTTTTCAGTTTTTTAGGTTAAATAATGTCACATCAATATTTTCTATTATTTTATTCTTTATTTAAACGGATTATGAATGGGATCACTAACACCATGCATTTTGGGGCTAACAGTAGCCTTTTCTTTGAAGCCTGAGGCCTAAATTGGCCTCTCAGATATAAAAAGGGCAAAAGTGATATTTTTGCAAAATACAGGAATTGTTAAAGCCGAAAATCGTCCAATAGTTTAATGCATCAATTAGTCCCCCCGCCCCCAGTTTGGTATCATTGTCGTACTTTCTAGAGGAAACTGAAACACCCCACCACACTAGAAACAGCCACAAAACACTAGATTTGTTGTTTATCATTGTTGTTGTGTCATGTAGGAATAGGGATGTCGGTGGGTCGAGTTAAATGGTAAACCTAGCTTGACCCAACCCTATAGGGTCGAGTTAGGGTCAATATATTTGGATTTAGGGTCAGGTTAGGTTTTTTATTATTCAACCCAAGTTGGGTTCAGGTTTTGGCTGATATGCTCACTGGGTCATGATAACCTTTGACTTCTAACTCTATAACTTTAAAGCTTAAGATTTATTTACATGTCGGTTTTGATTTTTTTTATTTTTTCTAATGAGAAAAATGATATCTTAAATTCTATAAACAATTTACTAACTTAAAATTAATGGATTTTAAGTCTTCAAAACTTATTAAAAAAATACAATTGAAATACTACGGATCAAGTCAGGTCGATATCAGGTTAGACCCTATAAGGTCAGATTGGTTTGGAAATCATGTATTTTAAGATGAGTTGGGTCAGGTTCAGGTTGAAGCATTGTAAAATCATATTAGGATTGAGACAAACTCGTGCGAAACCCGACCCCTTGACATTCTACGTAGGAATAATGGTAACGATTTCACCTGTAATTTGTTGGGGAACGTCGTATTTACGTATTACTATTCATGGGGAGATGTTATTTTGTGGGCAGGAGATTCAGAGTTTAATCTGTTTGCTTCAAAAAAAATTTTTTTGAGGTATATTTTATACCGTATATGACACATATTACACCAGAATATGTCAATGCTTATCTTATTAGATAACACTCGTCTACACCAGCAAATGTCAATGCTTATCTTATTTGATAACACTCGTCTAGCTTCCTATTCAACAGACAGTATTTGCTTTTTTAGTGATCCAACGGTTAAAATGTATCAAGATATATATTGGTTTGGATCGTTCAAATCCAAAGAATTTGATAAGCCAAAATGACGTGGAATGCACTGGATAGGACCTCGCCCATTGCCAAACCAGCATCAACATTTGATTTAACTCACGCGGTTGTTTGAAGAAATGGGATATAAATAAGTACGGGAGATGTTCCTAATGTACGATAGGATTTGTGTGTGAGGCGTTAGGTGTGAGGAGTAGAGATCCGGTCTTTTTTTGTTGAGTGGATGTGATGTGAGTTGTGGGATTTCCAAAGCGTGGATTTCCGAGTTAACTTTGATGGTTATACTCATGTTTTGTTTTTTGGTAAAAAGAAAAGGGAGAATGACGGATCAACTCAGGGTCAGAATTTATAGGTTCAAAATACTGTTGGGATAGGTGCTAACTTGAAATTGAATGCATAAAATGTGGATTATTGACATTTTGAATGTTTATAACTTTGTAATAAAAATCAAAAAATCTGCATTAGATAAATCCGTACTTCTCAAAAAATAAGAATAAAAGTAGGGGGCTATTATTAATTTATCAACTCTCGTCAGGAAAGTTTTTCGTTTAGAAGCGTTTTTCTCTTAAAACCATGGTTTTAAAAATTCGGCCGACAATAAGTTTGTTGATTTGATGAGCGATCCACTGATTTGTTGATTTGATGAGCGATCCACTGATTTGAACGGTTGAACCGTTAATCCATGAATACAGACAATAAGTTTTAGCTATTATTTTATTTTTTAAAATCAGAACGGACCATTTATTCAATCCTTAAAATGATTCCATATCCGATCTGATTTTTAAAACCTTACTTGAAACGGTCCAACCAAATACGTTTTTTACCGTTAAACTTGAAACGCCTAGATGGTGGCGACACCACGCCACACTACCAAAGATCATCTAAATAGGATCATGAAGAAAATGTGGTTTAGAGGACCACGTGAAAATGCTAATGCTTTGAATGTGACAAGTAGACTTCACAATCTTGTTGCAAATTGATAGGGGTAAAGGAAAATTTGTTTTTTCCTCTAAATTAGCCCTAGCAGGATTGTTGGGTCATTTGGGTGAATGTTTGTGACGGGCTTGATGTATACAGACTCTCTAAATTTGGATGTACCATCACTCATTCAACCTCTAAAGTCGAACAAAACCATTGCATGGCATACATGCATGCTGTTTCAAGTGTCAACGTGGCCTCCTATTATCTTAGCTCTTTCGCAGTGTACACACGTATCATTCCATTTGTTTCTTTGTAGAAAGTAGAAACCACTACAAAAGCGGAAGCTCCGATCATGGATGTACCCCATCAAAAGAAAAAACAGTGAGAGAGAGAGAAAGAGAAAGAAGAAGAAAGTCGTAGCGAAAGCAAAGAGATCGATGGAACCATATCAGGAAGACGACGCCCAGAAACAACACCAACCGCCTAATATCTCACCGATGAAGCCGGTTACTGAAGGTGCTTACGGCGGGGGACTGTACGGAACGGAGGAGGGGCAGCCGGAGAAACCAACGAAGCCACCGGCCAGCGACACTCAGAGTGCGGATGGGCCGGTTGACACCGGCATTAAACCGAAGCACAAGCCCCCTCCTTCTACTGGTGACCGGGACGTCGATATTACGGGTCAATCTTATATTCAGTAACCACTGTTTCTCTCATTTTCTTCGTCTTTCTTTTTGGTTGCAAAGTCTTTACTTTTTTCGGTTAACTGGATCCACTCATTGCCGTTATCTTCTGTAAATATTTATATGTTTCTGATGTGAATGACGATATATGTTGGGTATCTTCTCACCTTTTACCAGAGGAGAGAGAGAGAGACAGAGAATGGATGGATGGATTTTCATTTCTGACCTGATATGAACACGACGAGCAATCATGCATTCATCCTTGAAAATTCGTTAGACTAACAAAAGTAACAATTTGGAGTCGACATGGGCCTAGTTTGCCAACACCGATCCAACTGTTGGTTTGGGCTGGCGCTGCATCTGGTCCATATTTTCAGACCCTTAATTAAGGTTGCGTTTGGATAAGCTTCTTTTAAAGCCCAATAGCCCCAATTTCGGCTTTGTGCATTCAATGTTTAGTAGACTCTTCTAGATTATAATGTTTTTAAAAGCAATATGGGCCCAACCCAATTGTGGTTTCCACTTTCCAAGTACCAAAGCTCAAAATTAAGGCCGAAACTTATCCAAACACTGCATCCTAAAAGCAAATATATTTATCACAAGAACTTATCCATGAGACCATGACGATGCACTTTTCGACTAACCTTCTCCACTTCTCTTTTTTCTGATTTTTTTTCCCCAATGCCAAATTGCAGGGAACAATTGGTGAAACAAAGCCCGGAGCCCCGGATTGATATCATTGATGTAAGGGAAGGGACTTGATCGGGCTTGGGCTCCACTTTGTTGTCTTGTGGACCATCTTGGGGCTTCATAGATGTTATGGGCCAACACATATATTCTTTTCAGTGCAAATGGACTGAGTGTAAAAGTTGTGGTTTATTTTGACAGATTTTTTTTATCAGTTTTGAGCGAAAAATGAGACAATAAGTTTGTGTGAGATAGGAGTGCAAAACATAATTTACAAATAAATATATCGAAAAAATGAATTGGGAGATGAAATTCTATACAGAAGATCACAAATAAAATGATCGTAGAGCTTTCTAACAGGTGATTTGCTGATTTTGCGTCTCTTAGGCTCAGTGTCATGGAGTGCAAATGGGCTCAGTGCAAATTGTTCTTTACAGATCTTGTATCAGACTGAAGTTATATTTGTGTGAAAATGAATGAAGCTAATATTTGTTGGTGAAGTGGCTAAAGTTGTATTTGGCGCGTGGGAACACAGGACCACCAGCCTACGAGCCATGGGTCTGGGGCTCCCACAGGCCACAACTATAGGCATTCTTTAGACGGGTCCTACTTAAAATATCAACTGGGCCAAAAGAAAAGTCCTTATCAGATGGTTAGAAATAGTTTTGATCAAGTTGATGCCGGTCGTGATTCTTAAAATGGATGGGATAGCCCACAGGTGATGGTTATGGGCCTTCTGGCCCTGACCTACATCAAGGTCCCGACCATTTTCCTACAGCAAGCCCAAAGTGCATTTTCTAAAACAAAACATAGAAGGGTTTCTCTCTCGAAACGACAAACTTCACTATTATCAACACCGACCATTGGAGCGGTGAGTGGTGAGATGGGCGGCTAAAGAGCAAAATGTAAGAGGAATAGAAGTAGGGCTACAACTTGGGCGGGCCCAATTTGAACCCGATCCCATTCAATCCGAGCTTTTGCACGGAGAGGGCTTGAGTATTTGGGCTTTGGACTAGGCCGGGGCTAAAAAAATTCACAGAAAACTAGGGCCATATTTAAACTTCCGTTGGGCTTGAGGTGAGGCCTCGACCCCCAACATTGGAAATTTGCAATATCGCATAATATACACACTGATTTAAACTTCGGTTGGACTTGGTAGGTTTTACCCGGAACCGAAGACTCTACCCTATAAGTTGGACTTGGGTAGGTTTTATCCGGAATCGAACTAGTTTTGAACCGACTCTACCTGTTATAGGGTAGGGGCGGAACCGACTCTACCCAGTTCAGTCGGTTGTAGATTCTTGGAATCGAATTTGTCTTGAAATCAACCATAAAATATTTTTTTAAGGATGTCTTGAAATAAATTTAAAATTTTAAGGATATAAAGATTTGAGTCAAGCAAATGGTTACAAATGCCTTGATTTGATCATTTATTTTTAAATTATAATATTTGTATGTATATAATATTAATATACTATTAGAATTTATATATTCAATTAATTAATTTAATCAATAAAGATATATAAATTTTGAATTATATATTATTATTATTATTATTATTATTATTATTATTATTAAAAATCATTTGAAGGATATATTTCTTTGTTTTCTTGAATGAAGGAGAGTAAAGAAAGAAAAGTTAACTTTTACAGAGTAGGTTTTTGTGAGGTTCCAAAAACCTGGAATTGACTTCTAGGGTAAGTTTTAAGTTTTGCCTAGAAACGAACCGAATTTTGGAACTGGAATTGACCCCTGTATAGTAGGTTTTAGGTTTTGCCGTGAAATCAAGTCAAACTGACTCATGCTTACCTTTAATACACATTTAGACAATGTTAGTTTTTGCCATGAAACTGAAACCGAACCAAACTGACTCATTTTCGCCTTGAATGCACATTTAGACAATATTTTTGAATCCGTTATTGATCTGGATGATCTTTCACTCATAAAACGTTCTTGGTGAAAAAAAATGTGAGTAAAAGATCCTGATTCAGGATTTGAATTGATTTCGTTTCATTGATTCCTTCTAAAGATTTCATTTCAATTGGAATTTGGTTATTCACGATGTACGATGATCCCTGTTAAGCATCATCCATGGCTGAATGGTTAAAGCGCCCAATTTATAATTGGCAAATTCGTAGGTTCAGACCCATTGACCCAGTACCCGAATAACAGTTTTTGGTTATTTTTATTATTTCAAATTACAACAGACCATCTTCAATCAAATTGCTGACCCAAGAACCGAATAAATGATGAATTTATGAACTACATTCAAAAAATACCTTCAAACCTGATCAATCAACCTAGACCCAACCAAACTGCCTATGTCCGGGCAGAGTTGTAAGTTGTAAGCATCTTTCAATGAGTCATGTTTGGGTTATGATTGAACTGGCCCAGAGTGCCACATGTCACCGCCATAGTCGCCTTATCACCTTGACCACATTAGTATCACATCACCTCCATGACTTGTCTTATCGCCTTGGCCACATCAGTACTATGTCATGTGGATAAGCACAACTCAGATAGGAGGACATTGCATGGATACTGACAACTCCGTCAGGGATTAGGTCTTATCCCGAAAACCTCGATGGATAACCTCATTCTAACAACCCCAGAAGTTTCATCCGACCATGACACAGATCTTCAGCTATAAAAGGTACCTCACGCTCAAGGTAAAAGATCCAACTTTCTACTTCCATATTGTTACTCTGCTCGAACCAGCACCACTCTCTAACTGCTCGGCCCGATCACCCACTTTTCTCGATTAACTTGAACATTGAAATACCTATCCAAGGATAATTCTTCAAACCTCTGACTATCTTCTTGATTTCAGAACTTGAAGTACAATTTCATCCTTCTACCTCAGCTCCGCTCAATTAATAAAATTATCTGACTACAGCCTCGATTTAAAAACCACCTCGAATCTAACAACATCAAATCCTACCATATCTATTGGGCATACATAACCGTGTTATTTTACAAATACAATTTGACAGTTGGTTTAGTAGTATCAAACTATCAATTGCATAAAAAAATATCCATATGATATAATGACAATAATAATTTAGAGATGCAAATTACAGCGTCTTCACGTGGGCTACCTGTCGTCTTCTTACAAGTTACAATTAAAAATCAAAATGGGAATGTGCATTAATCGACACTCCTTCGAGCATGAACAACGTGGCTTTGTTGTCCCTGAGCTGAACTGATGATGATTAAGAGTAATCCTTCCCTCTTTTCATCAAAGAGCTTTTACGTTTTTTTAGTTTAGGTGTCATTTGTCAAGTCAAACAAAAAATACTGCATTTAGAGGTTATTTATCATGCAGAAAGATAAAAAATAATCACTTTGAAGTTTTTCAAATTTTGATATTTTCGGTCTTTTCAATCTTTCAATGTATGCAGCGTCTGATCTTAATAGCTTTTGATTATCAAATGGAACCGATTTTTTATCTTCCAACTTTGCAGAAACCTAGACTAGAAGACCGCGAAAGAATTGCCAAATGCCAGGCCAACCCTATCCATGTGGAGCATTTTGGTAACTTAGAAATGAAGTTAAGCAGCTGGATCGGTGTAGAATTGTTCTTCATGCAAATATACAAACACAGGCGATTGGTTCAAAATGACAGCAAATCCTACTGCGTTCAAGCTAGCATCGGTTTTGTTATTCGAAATGAGCTGGTGGGTAAGTTAGTTTGTTGTTGGTCTCTCAAAGCAAATCCTAGTGCGCTCGGCAGAAGTAGCTGAAGCTACTGGCGTCTCTTTCAAAGTTCCTAACTTGACTCATAGTTTGAATATTTGTAATATTATCGTGGAAAGAGATGATGCTATAGCCATTATTCAAGCTCTGCTGGATTCTACTCCTCGTCTTCCTTGACAAGTTCAAACGCCCAATGAGGATTGCAGAGCCCATCAGGTATACAGGGAGGCTAATTGTGTGGCCCATGAGCTGGTCCATTCTGCGTTCTCATCAACTCATGACAATTATTGACAAAATTTTCCTCCTAAGTTCATTGTTCAATGACAACTCTTATCTTTATCTTCCACAAAAAAATGGCGTTATCATTATTCACCGAAAACTTAAAAATAAAAAACTGTTACGGCACATGCATGCGCAAATTAATAAATGGTAAAGATATAAATTGATATTATATAGTCAAATTTTATGCCTCCTTTGGTTAGCAGGAATAGGGGTTTGGAATCGGAATTGGAATGGGTTATTTCGATTCCAACTGTTTGGTTGGGCGGAAATGTGGAATCGGAATCCATTCCTATTCTTGCTGGAATGGCATACCCCCATTTGAGGGAATGGCCATTCTCGGCCCTTCCCTTGGGAATGAAATATCATTCTTGCTGATTTTAATTTTCGTTCTCATTCTTATCTGAACTAAATAGGTTATGGGAATAGACCATTCTGATTCTGATTCCAAAGGATTTCGATTCCGATTATGACTGTGAACCAAACGGACCCCTAGCTTATTTTTTACCTACACCAAAT